TTTTAAAATTTTCCCAATTTTCTTCAAAAAAATTTTAATTTTTAAAATTGTGTGAATAATGTACGAAAATTTTCATCTGGTAACATTTTCTTGAATAGAAACATTGTATAAAATGCTAAAATATAATTTTTAAATGCGTAAATAGAGAAGTTTGCTCAAAGGGTACCAAGTCTTCTTAATAATCAATCTCTTACAGATATCACACGGCAATCAGCAACAAAGCTTTATGTGTGTGTGTCTTCCTCTTGTATTCTATTCTTTTAATATTAATCTTCTATATATATATATATATATATATATATATATATATATATATATATTATTGTTGTTGTTATTATTATTATTATTATTATCCGACGATCCAGCTTCTGTTCAACTTTACAGCTTCTAGCCGACTTCTATATGACTCCCTCGCGAATGCTAAAGCTACCTTATATATCTATTCGCTAATTTGCATATCGCGTTTTCTTCTTGAGAAGGTTGAATTGAAATGTCATTTTGGCCCCAAAGATTCCCCAAGAGGATTAGTTAGAAGTCGCGATAAAGCCTCGTCATACTCTTACCAATTAAAGTAAGTATTCAATGTCATGTTCCAAGAGATAGGGGGGATGTGTCTAAATCTTGATCTTCCTTCAGGATATTTTGAGAAACATTTTTAGTATATCAACATGAGAAGTATTGTGTTAGATACAAAGCGAATACAAGAATAAAAATATGCTATTCTCTTTTCACAAAATTCGCGTCTCTTATGTAGCCAGTCCTAACAAACAGATTTTATGTATTCATTTATTATGGAGGATGAAACTCATCTAGAAGGCGTAGAACTACTCACCAGTCCTCTAAGATAAACAGGAAACAATACAAAAACAAAAACAAAAAAATATATAATATTTTTTAAAAAAAACCCTCTGCAGAGAAATACAGAGGCGAGGAGACAAAACTGTAAAAAATATATCGTTGGGAAAAGTAGAACCAGAAGATAACTGCTTCCTGTGTAGATTTTGCAAGACGAAATTTGGATGATATTGTTACGTAAATCCGAGGGTTCGAGGATTTTATGCAAAGACAATCACAAAGAAAAAATAATCAGTTCTTTAAGAGCGATGCGAATTTATTATCGAAAATCCAATCCTTACAATACAGGATTCATCGGCAATATTCACAGGGTAAATATCCGAAGGTCTTCACACCTTCAACAGCAATCAAACACAATAGCAGTGTTTAAAAATACACGTAAGTAAAGATTATTCACAAGCACAGCCAAGCTAATCGCTAGTCAAAACAATCCTCACTACACGCTGGCTTAATCAAGACTCTTCGCGTACCGGCGAGCATCCTTTTTATATGCGCGACAGAAACTTCTAGAAATACAACCGCTCGTGTCATTGAACGTGACACTAGTGGAGAGATCTACTACTTTCTAGAAGATTCCAGTGGGTTCCGAACTCGCCAACAAGGTCGCCAATGACGCCAAAATGGTCACCAAATTGACCGCCAACTAGGTCGCCAAAAATGATGCCAACTTGGCTCTACCGCCAAGATTTTGCCAAGTTCTCATTCAATCACCCTTATAACGTAAGGGGCGGCACTGCTTGTGAATAGTACAATTTTAACATGAAATAAATATAACATAAAGTAATATAAATGCATTAAACACTCAAATATAAATTATTTACACTATTTACACAAAATTCGTAACAATATAGAAGTAAAAAAAATAGAGAGTTTCTTGGGAGAAACACATAAATAATTAGGAGTGCTAAGAAAAACAACTTCACTAAGCAGATTCTAATTCTGACATTTATGAACCGCAAAGACATTTCATCACTCAAAACAGAACACAATACGAGCGATTTAGCGCAACATACTGATAAAGCCGTTTTTTATCTGTGTTTGTATTGTGTCTCGGCTCCAAGCCTTTGCCAGCGAATTTACCATTTTGGTGCTAGGTTCTCAAATGCACAATAGTAGTCCTGAGAAAGAATTTGAATGTATTTGATTTTAATTACGTCGCCTTTGAAGCAATTGGTGACGAGGATCATACCTGAGCTGACACGCCCCTTTCCTAACTTCCACACACACCACTAATACACAGTCGCAAAATGATGTGATATAAGGTGTAACGTTTTGAGATAATTGATGGATAGCGTGAGACTTAAGAAATTAAATTACTGGTTTAATATATACACAGCTATTAATTAAATTATTTACAGTTAGTTACAAGTTATTCAAACAATTAAATTTTTCAATTCTACAAAATGTGTTATTTGTGAAGGAGGAGGCAGACACAACCTTTCTTTTCAATCGGTTGTCGGTGTGATGTCAGATGAAAAGACCCCGCAATATTTTAGGACTGCACGTGTGAAAATGAACGAAAAGTCACTCTTGCAGTTGCTGGGCGGGAAAATGTTATAACAGCTAATAGTGGTGATATATTTTGATTTGGCAACGTTTAAGAACCGGATTTTTGGAGAGCGCCTACAAATGAGGGTTGCATAGGCGTTATAGATAAAAATTACCATTTCTGATTTATTAGGTGTACAGACTAGAAATTCGGGGAGCATCTATCTTTTGTTGAGTAGAAACCTGCTATAAACGGGTTTCACAAAAATTGACTTTCGTGGAGGTTGCGGGGATGTTATAGATTAAAAAAATTCCCGTTTTTGAACTATTAGCCCTACAGACTTGAAATTTGGCAAGTATGTCTGTTTTGTTAAGTAGAGATCTGCTATAAATGAATTTGGGAAAATCAACAACCAAGGGAGTTAGCGGGGTGTTATAGATAAAAAAAAAATTCCTGTTTTTTAACTATTATATCTACCTACTTGAAATTTGGCATCGTATATCTTTTGTTGAGTGAAGATATAGTATGAACGAGTTTGACGGAAATATAACTCACAGGAGGTGGGCTTACGAGAGCGTAGAAGATAAATATGTTATTCCGTTAAAGAATCTTTTTCTTTTTAACAAGCTTTTATAAGTTTCACTTCCATGTTGCATCTTTGGAATCGATTTTTACCCACTTTAAAAGGTCAGATTAATTCGAAGTTTTGCACACTTGTCAAGGACCCATGACAATACAATAATTTCAAAGTTTGTTCCATTGTCCTGATCAAAATCGTCAAAAATAATGATTTTAATTATTTCGAGATTTGGCGACTCATTGCATATACCATTTCCAAATTTGGTGACTAATTCCAGTTATGGCGACTAAAAGACCCTACCCCTTAAAAAGGTGCAATCCTAAAAATGAAAACGCTTGTCATTAATTCAAATAAAACAAACAAAAAAGTTTTCCTTATGTGAGAAAGGGAAAAAGAGAAAACTCATGAATGTGAATAAAAATAATTTATGTTCTAACGGCTAAATATTTTTAATTTTTATAAAGCATTACGTTTAGAAGTGATGGTACGAATTAACATTATAGTAATACGTTAAAAAGGTGATAAATTTTTGTTCTAACTGTTAAATATTTGCTTTTATTTTGATAAAGCAATATGTTTAGAAGTGATGATACGAATTAACATTACAGCAATACGCTTAAAAGGCGATTGACAATTAATATTTCTTCTTAACACACTTTTATTAGTTAGACCTGTATCTATGGAGACGGAATCTTTGAAATCTAACGATATGTAACCGGAATGAGTACACTTCAGACTTGTTAATTAATATCCATTGAAGAGCAAGACTAATCTAGCGGCCACGTAATTGCGGCTCCAAATATCTAACTCAAGGATAAATTCAACAAAGAATAAATGATAGTTTTAAAAACCAGAAAAACAGGTTTTTATTGTAGATCGAACTAAAAAATGAAAAAAAAATTATAGTTTAAAAAAAATTAAAAAACACGCTTTTATAATGTGTGTGTGAATAGAACTAAAAAGTAAAAAAAATAATTCTTAATACAAGAATAAAATGATTAACGAGAAAATTAATGTCATTGGGATAAAAGCGTGGAGTACTCAATATCAATTGTTATAATTTCTTACTAGTTCTATTCCAAAATGCTGATTTTGTGTGAAAATGTAGTACAAAGCACCCCATTATTTTTTTATTTTTTAGTTCTATTCACTATAATAACGTGTTTTTTAGTTTTTTTTAAACTATAATTTATTAAATCAAGAATTTAAATGCTATACAAATGTTTTTGTGAATATTATGCATCAAAACTTAATGCTAATTCTTAGATATCTATAACTCCATTAAAAAATATTATACACACACAGCCATTCGTTATCATGATAGACCCATAGAAGCGGCTGGGTAACGGCTTAAACTCCATAAAAAAGACTTATTACCGTAAGCTGAGCCTTGGTTATTACATAAAAAAAAGCTTTTTAGATCTATTATTGTCATTTATAATGATAAATATATTTTAAGGAACTACGCAATTTATAAAATAAACATTCTTTTTTTCGATTCTCCGAGATTTTTAAAGCAGATGCCACTTTTACAAACCTAAATTTAGTTCTTTGTTTTTTTTTTTCACCATCTGATGCCTGTTCCCATAGATTTTTAGCACAAACAGACGGAAAGGTTCAAAAAAAATATGCTTGACCAAGCTACCGAAACCAGCGGTTTATTTCAAAGAACTGTTTTTAAAGTCAGCATATTGGACGTTAGTTTTTTCAAGGAAGCAGATGGGAAACGTAGCTCCAAATTTATTACTTAACGCTTTAAGAAAGGAGAACAGAAAAACGCCCGAAGATCTGCTTTGCGTATGGTTTGAAAGGTTTTTTGTTAAATTTAGAATGTGAAGAAGATCACAAAGGTGATGAGAGATTAAAAAGCAATTTTTAAATTTAAAAATAACGATTATATGTTTCTTTTTACTTCAATTGATTTTTCTTTTTAACTGGAGGTGTAAAAATCGAAACCCACAAAAAAAAATTCTATTTAAATTTTGCCATTTGAGTCGATTTTAATATATGCTGGTATTTTTATTCCTGTTTTATTCTTAAAACTTTATTTAGCATTATGAATGTTCCACCTTTCCCTATCCCAGGTGGGATTCGAGCCCGCGACCTTTGGATTAGAAATCCAACGCGCTATTCATTACGCAACAGGGACACAACGAGCGATTTTCCTTTTTATATAGGGTGTTGAACTATTATATTTTGTTACTATTTATTCATTAATTAAATAAAATTAATGAATTTATATTTGAAAAAACTGTAGTAACATCAAGTGTCATCTACTACAAGTCTAAAAAAATGTACATAAACTTGAGTGTATAAATAGAAAGTATTTTGTTAACGATTGAAAATTTGAGCAAGATATATATATTTATATAGGGGGAGTGTGAACTAATAGTAGGAATAGAATAAAGTTCAAGAAGTTACAGTTGGGTCTCCATTTCACGAACCTGTTATTTTTGAATTTTTCTATTTTATGAACTTTTCCTGGAACTAAGAACATTTTACGATTTTTTTCGATAAATAACCTCCAAATAGTGAAATAGATTTTCTATTTAATTAGCTTTTTCTACTTTGATGCGATTTATTTCTATCTATTTTTAAAAAAAATGTCTGGTTATTTCAAATTATTTTATCTTATAAAGCATTTTATGTTGAACAATGACCTTGAACTGGATTTACCAGGCTCCTAATTCACCTAGAGAAATGCAATTGCAGTAATTCTGACTATTTCCTTCTTCAAAAAAAAAAAAAAAAAAAAAAGTTAAGAGATTTTTCAGTAATAATATATAAGAACACATATAATGAGTGTTACATATAATGAGTGTTTAAAATTACTGGTTAAAAAATAACATATGCTTAAAATTATTCGTAGGTTTATATATATACTTATAAAATGCCATTAAAATTCATTAATTTTAAAACAAAATTGTTTTTGTAAAGTTGAAAATACGGTACATTTCGGGACAATGTTTTTTTCCCTTGCTTTTCTTGTAGATTTTTTTTATTGATCAGATATGTAAAATAAAGAGATTTTAAGTTACAAAAATGGCTCAAATAATAATTTTTTTGTTTGTATATAGTGTTAAGGTATTTAAAATTTGTTTTATGGGGTTTATAAAGTATATTGAAAAATCTCTCTATTTAACGAATTTTCCACATAACGAACTTTTTTTCGGGATTTAGTGAATTCGTTAAACAGAGGTCGGACTGGATTTTTATTCAATTCCTATTATTTCACATTCTCCCTATATATATATATATATATATATATATATATATATATATATATATATATATATATATATATATACACTGGTGTGCAAAAATTAAGGACAAAGTCGAAAAATTAGCATATCAGCTGAACGAAGAGGCAGAGCGGACAGAAAGACTAATCAGGAGATTAAGTAAGGTGATGTACGGTAGCACATGCGCAGATATGCAGGTAGACGTAATGGGGGAGTGTCTGAGTAGTATAAAGCATGTTGTCGGTGTAAGATCAGTATTTCTGGCAAAGAGATTGCACGCCGTATAACAGTTAAAATCACACCGAGTTGCTGCCTCAGCGAGAAACGGCGAATAATCAATCTGTTAGACGACATCTGGATGCTTTTACCCGAGGTCGAATCATTGGGAAGTTGGATGAAGGCCGCAGTGTGACAAGTGTGGCTGCAGAGTTCGGAATTGCTCACAGCATCGTTTCACGACTTTGGAGACAATTTCAAACTACAGGAACAGTAGTGGTACAGGGTTCAGTAGTGGTAGTCCACGAGGAACCACACCCGCAGATGACCGGTACATTGTCTTACAGGCCAGAAGAAACAGGCGGCAGACAGCGGGAGAAATCGCTAGACACACAACACAGGCGACTGGACGACCGATATCGCGTTTTACCGTGGCCAGAAGACTGCACGGTAGTGGTCTGTTTGCACAACGCCCTGTACGGTGTGTACCTTTAACGCCTGCCCATCGGAGAAGGCGTTCTCTGTGGTGCCGGGAACACCGGAATTGGAGAGACAATGAATGGGGACGAGTACTCTTTACAGATGAAAGCAGATTCAGTTTGAGTAGCGATTCTCATCGCATACTCATCTGGAGAGAGCGGGGAAGCCGCAATCATCCCTCGAACATCATTGAAAGGGACAGGTATGGAGATCGTGGTGTTCTCGTTTGGGGAGGCATCATGCTTGGTAGTCGTACAGACCTTCACATCTTCGACGCAGGTACAGTCAACGGGACCCGTTATTCTAACGAGATTCTTCTTCCATATGTGCGTCTTTTTAGAGGCGCTATGGGTCTGCAGTTCCTTTTCATGGATGACAATGCACCATGTCATCGCACAGTAGCTGCCGAACAGCTCTTAGAGAGTGAGGATATTGAACGTATGGATTGGCCGGCACGATCTCCGGATCTCAATCCCATCGAGCATGTATGGGATTTTCTAGGCAGATGCTTGGCAGCTCGTACCTTACCATCAGTAACGATTCGGGAGCTTCGATTCGCGCTGCAAGTTGAATGGGCAGCAATGCCTCAACAACTCATTGACACCCTCATTCTCAGCATGGGCAGACGCTGTGAAACCTGCCTAGCAGTCAGGGGAGATCATATCCCCTACTAAAGACCGGATGTTTGTTGCTGGACACCCATCACAGTGATGTTTCGGCCTTCTGTCGCATTGCGCTCCATGCTACTTTTTCAATCAAGCTTCTTTTTATCCCTCTGATTTCTCTTTTAGTAAGTGTTGCTTACATATTACACATGTCCTTACGTATTGGGGATCTTACGGTATTAAATGTGTTGATTTGGAAAGCTTTTGTACAAAGTTATATTGAAAACACCGTCTCATCCTTAATTTTTGCACACCAGTGTATATGAAAGAAATTTGTATTATGTATCAAAAACAAGAAATAATAGATAATGAACATAATAAGAAATAGCGTAATAAAAATATAAAAGCTAAACATGAAAATTAAAATTATAGAAAAAGAAAAAAAGAAACTACAAAAAAGAACCTAGCGAAAGCAATTTTGGACTTAGGACCGAATAAGTGGGGTTAAACTAGTTTGAAGGTGCCAACCTTCCCCCTTTGCAACTTGGTAGGAAAAACCAAATAAAATAAAATAAACAAAAATCAGAGTATGTAAAAACTCAGAGAGTATGAAAAAACCACTCACTTCTATTATGTAACAAACTCTCCCAAACTCCTAATGCAGAAAAATCGCAAAACAATTACGTAAGAAAAAAGTAGAAAAATCCTAAAATAATTTAACAAAATTTCTTTACTCACAGAGCTTTTACGAAGAGAATCAAGCGTCTTGACATCAATGAAAATCAATTATTCACCAAGTTAAAAAATTCGAATATACATAAACACATCTTTTGAGCTAACTTTTAAACCAGCTAGCAAAGACAGATATCAAAAAAGACGACAATCAAATGTGGTAGAATTTGAATTGGTTGATTGTCAAAAATGTAAATTTACTAGGCTCAAATTTGGTTGGTTGTCAACAATGTGTAAGATGTTCAAGATGTGTGTGGAAAAAATGTAAACTGTGATATGAGTGCTATGATATAATCTTCACAGCAAGACCACTAACATGCTGACTTTGAATTAGAAGTAGCAAGACGGTTAATGTATTTGCGATGAATATAAGTTCTTAAGAAATTAAAAGGGTATTCATGATCTAAACAACATTGAAAAAAAATTTTTATATTATTGTATTTATCTATTTTGTGGGTAGTTAAGTTATCATTTCTAAATAAAAAATTCAAAATGATATTTCTGTAAATTGATATATGCAAGTTACTATTCCATACAGGAATTTTAATTATATGGAACTTAAACGAATCTCTTTTGTCAAAAATGTTGCTGACTATATTATTGTTAATAAGATGCAAGTCTAAATCCAAGAATTCCACCATATTAGAGTTGAAGTTAGTTTTAAGGAGCTTGAGATAATCAGGGTAGAACGTAATATTTGGTTTGTATTCACTGTTTTTACCAAAAATTATTAAATCATCTATATAACGATAAATCAAGTAAGAATCATTTACAACATGATCAATTTTAAAAAAATGCAAATATAGGTTCGCTAAACAATTACTAGCTGGACCACCCTGAAGTAATCCTTTGATCTTTTTATAAAGATTCTGATCAAATGCAATGAAATTTTCTTTTAATACGAGGTTAACAAGAATATCAAATTTTTCTTTTTTCATTCAAGTATATAATTCATATTTATCATAAATTAACTGTAGAACCTTAATCATATCTTCAATATCTATAGAATTAAAAAGGTCCTCGAAATCAAATATATATATATATATATATATATATGGGAGTCCGAATAAATCTTCGAATAAAAATCAGACTCTTCAGAAGGCGGGATTTTAGATTGGCGAGGTGGTTTGTCTAGGGGTAAGTATTTAAGGGTGAGTGATGAATTATATTAATTTAATCTAAGTCATTTAAACACAAATACTTCAAAGTAAAAGAGAATTTATTTAAAGTTAAAGGGAAATATTTACAAAAGGGGATATTTACAAAGAGAAAGAAATGCAGGAATTAGGTTAATTAAAAGTTGAGTTATACCTTTAGAAGACGGGGAAATAAACCTTTCTCATTCTTGGATGTTAGGACTGGTGGTGCCGCGCTGGGCGCGGAAATGCGGTAAAGACGCGACGTGTTGAACAAGCAGTGGTTAGTAGGCCTCTGCCGAAAAATTATTCAAGCCGGAGCTACGAAAGCTCACTAGATGGCGCTGCTTCGGAATGCAGTAATAAATAAAATTGAGATTAATGGTCCTCTGAAAAGGATATGACTCAACCTTTTAACAAATGTTTCAAAGGGAAAATCCTACATATATATATATATATATATATATATATCTTGTTCAAATTTTCGATCGTTCATAAAATAGTTTCTATTCATCCACTCAAATTCAAATACATTTTTTAAACATGTAGAGAATGATACTTGTTGTTAATGCAGGTTTTTCAAATATTAATTCATTAATTAAATAAAAAAATGAATAAGTAATAACAAACAAAAATAATAATCCAACACCCTATATAAAAAGGAAAACCATTCGTTGTGTCCCTGAAGCACAATGGATAGCGCGTTAGATTTCTAATCCGAAGTTCGTGCATTCGAAT